GGGGGGGGCTCGGAGGTAGGACGCGCCGTCCGCACCGCGGGGCTGGACCCCGGGGGCAGCCGTAGAGCCCCGGGGTTCTCTCCAGGCCTGTGCCCAGCCCAGACCCCACAACTGGGAGAAGCGGGTGTGGGGGGAGGCGCCCCACGGTGGGGCCCCGACTCCATCCCAGAGCCGTGGCGTCAGTCACCCCAGGCCGAGTGGGGGCTCCACGATGGGGCCATGGCCGAGGACCCCCTGGGAAGCTGTGGGGACGGCCGGTGGGGGGCGGGTGGGGCGCACCTGTAGTCGATCTGCTTGTCGATCCTCTGCCAGCGGTCCGTCAGCAGTGTGACCTTCTCGCTGAACTTGCCCAGGTCCAGGTCGTACAGCGGGTACTGCTGTGAGGCCTGTGAGTGTGCCTGCTGGGCCTTCTGCAGCTCCGCCTTCATGGTGGCCAGCAGCGACTTCTTCAGGTTCAGGTCGTTCTTTATTTTCTGCCAGGAAAGAATGGAGGGCGCCAGTGGCAACGTCAGGCTTTAGGGCCAAGCCAAAGCCCCGGCTGGTGGCGAGGGACACTCGCTCTGGGGGGAATACTACTCGGTCATGAAAAAGGTGCGCGGCTGCCTTTGGGCCGGCGGGCGGCACTGCAGGGGTGGCGAGAGGAAATGTCAGGGACTGGGTGGGGGGGGTTCGTGCATATGTGGGCCATGTCCCGGGGGGCAGGCAGCGGAGGCTCAGTGAAAGCCGGGGGCTGGGGGAGACGGGTGGGAGCGCGATGGGGCAACCCACCGGAGCTTTAGGGAGGGTGCACAAGGCACATGCCCCTGTGCAGGGGTGAAACCGTATCCCCGAAAGTTTAGTCTTGCAAACAAACAGTACTGATACAATTTGTCTGGGGCTTGGGGGGCACAACGACCCGTCTTCGGGATAGCCACGTCTGTACTCGTGGTGAGGGAAACACAGGTCCTGACCAGCTCCCCAGCGCCCACGCCAGGAGCCAAGTCGCCTGCCCCGTAGGAAGGGTGTGGAGTGGCCGGGAGTTGAGAGTCGCCCAGCAGCTCAGAGCCTCTCCCGAAAGGCCATAAAGGTGTGGACCAGGTGCCAACACCATCAAGGCCAGAGAAGCCTGAGAGCAAAGAAAGCAGCTTGGGGACCCCCATGGGGTGTAGGGGTGAGTCTCCACCTATGGGGCTGTCCCAGCCACCCCGGCCCAGTCCATCCCAGGCGGGAGTGACCCCAGGGCGAAGCAGACTTCTCCTGTCTCCCTGCTGCCCCCTCTGCCATGGGTTTCAAAGCCCTGCCTGTTCTGCTCCCCACTCTGTCTCTGGGGCATCCCCCCACCTCCACAGCTCTGGCCTGCACCCCAGCTCTTATGTGCATACATATATGAAATAAACCTTTAAAAAAGACAAACACAAAATGGCCCTCCCTGGTGGCCCAGCGGGTTAAAGCACAGCACTGAGAATCTAAAGCTGCTTCCTCATGAGTTCGATTCCCGCCTGCCCCGGAGGTGACCACAGGGCGCGGCAGACCTCTCCTGACCCACCCGCTGCTCCCCTCAGCAGTGTATTTCGTTGATCTGCCTGTTCTGCTCCTCACTCTGTCTCTGGTGAATTCTCTCACCCTCCACATCCCACTGACAAATACCCAAGTTCTGTATGCACAAATAAAATAAAATCTTTAAAAAAAGAAAATAAACAACCCCCATCAAAAAAAAAAAAAGACAAACACAAAAAAGATAAACTCCTGCCTTTTGCAGCAACATGGATGGAGCTGGAAGGGATCATACTTAGTGAAGTAAGCCAGAAAGAAAGGGGAAAATACCAGATGGTTTCACTCAGAGCAGGAGCATAAAGGACCAGGAGGGAGAAAAAATAATGAACAACTGTATATCAGAGACATTTTACGGGGTTGGGGTGGGGTATGGGATCAAAAACGTGGGTGAGTGGGAAGTACACTGGACTATGGTGATGGCACAGGGTGATTTGGTGATGGGAAGCCCACAGGGATTGCAACTGAGATGGAAAAAGGCACAAAATGATGTAAAAATAAACTAATAATAAAAATAATAATAAAGATGTGGTCCATACACACAATGGAATATTACACAGCTGTCAAAAAGATAAACGCCTGCCTTTTGCAGCAACACGGATGGAGCTGGACGGGATCATGCTCAGTGACATAAGCCAGAAAGTGACACAAGCTATGCAACTTCCCGTTCCCGAATATTACGGAAAAGTTCTGAAAAATCAGAATTTCCACTGCTAACTGAAGTTCCCACGGCCCTTTTCTGTATAATATCAAAATATTCTGAGCAACATTCAGTTTACAGCCGGATTGCCTCAGCCTCACAAGGCGGCAACCAGGCCCAGGCAAGCTGCCCCAGGCCGGGAAATTCCTGTCTGCTGAGACAAAAGGAGAGCCTGGGGAAAGATAAGACCTCCAGGGCACCAGGACTCAGGGAAGCTTCCTCTGTCTTTGGAAACAAAAAGCAAACCTCAGATAAGACTCCCAGGGCATAAGGACTCAGGGACAATTTCCTACCCTTGTTGACACAGGTGTTGCTGACTGCAGGGGGGTGGTACAACTCCTTCTTAATGCACTCCTTTCAAATAGCCACTAACTGCTCTCTGCTCATCTTAATTTGCCTTCTTCTAAAACAAACACTAGCTCTCTCTTGGTCTACGTCAGCCATTAGCTTCTCTTTACACGAGCACTACCGACTGGGGACACAATCCTTCCGTAAGAGCCCTAACAATCCTTGGCTGACAGCTCCCCCTTTCCCAGACCCCCTTCCCGTGAGTCACAGTTAAACATCTCTACACGTGACAATTACCACGAATGTGTGTGACCCAGTTGCTCCCCTCATCCTTGAGAGCGTTTATGGCGGTTGTGGAGATCTCCCATTGACTTACCCTAGGCATTGTTATAACTAACTACTTGCTACACAATGTAAACAAAGACCTGCCAAAGGGATGGGCAGGGAGACTTCTTCCTGTCCCCTGTTGCCCTCTCCCCTTTCGGAATCTCCGCTCGCCCACGCCAATCCCACCTACAGACCCTGTCCCTTGCAACTGCTTGAGGCCGGTCCTCAAGGAGGAGAGAGAAAAATACCGGATGGTCTCGCTCATGGCAGGAGTGTACGGGATGATTGGGGGGGGGGGGATATATACTAATAATAAACAACTATAGACCAAAGACATTTTATGGGGTTGGAGTGGGGATGGGATCAAAAATGGGGGGTGGGGGGGTGCAGGGACTATGGCACACGGTGAACTGGTGATGGGAACCCCACGGGGATGACAACCGGATGGGAATAAATATAAAGCAGACGGCAGCAGCAGCCTGGCCCGTGCCGGAGCCCACGAGCCCCGGCCGGCCCCAGCAGGACGGGTGACCGGTGCGGTGCCCGCGCCCCGCCCCCGCTCACCTTGAGGCCGCAGCGGTAGGCCTCCACCTTGTCCAGGTCCAGGCACACAGTCTCCTCCTCGGTGAGCCGGGCCTCATACACCTTGAGCATGTCCTCCGTCTGCAGGATGGCCTGGAGCAGCGGCCGCACCGAGCACAGGCTGGGGGCGCAGGGGTGCTATGAACGAGGGCCCCCGGCACCGCTGGGCCCCGGAGGGACCTCCTGAAGCTGGGGGGGACGCCACGAGCCAGCAGGGTCCGTACCTGTTCAGGTAGCC